GTTACAGTAATAATACATATAATATAGACCTATTTAAGAAAGGGAGAGCTCATTGATAATTCTGGAAAACAACAGCTGATCCTGCTAGACTGTATTTTGCCCCTGTCTTAAGATGTGTCTGCTTTTGGAGCATTTAGCCAAAAATAGGGTCAGCAAGGAGACAGCAATATGAGGCGAGGGGGAAATAGAAAGGAAAGAATTATTCTGTCTTAAGGCAACTGAAAGACTGACTACTAATGGAAAAGTTTCAGGAGGGGGAAAAAATATCTGATACAGATTCTGCCTGAGACTAGTCTCATGTTCTCTGTGATCTCAGTATTTGATGCTCTTTACAAACATACTTTAATATATTCATTGTACATCACACCATATCCTGGCTTTTCTCTGGCTTTGCATAACTATGCAGCCTTGGGCATATCAGATATATCCAGGACAGGATGCAGCTGTGACATGGAAGAGCTACATCATGGTCCTCCTGTTTACCCATCATTTACTCACAGAATACCCTGTGCTGGCCTTGGCTAGTTAAGTAGGGAGAATTTTGCTTTCTTGGTTTCTATTTACTGTGTCCCCAGGTAAACTTGACCCTTTGATTTGTGTAACAGTTACGATAGTGATGTTGTACTTGGGCATAAAGCAGAAAAAGAAGCCTGTGTCTTAATGGCCCTGGGCTTGTGTAAAGGGAAGAGAGATATGCAGAGGCACAGCCAGAAAAATTTCAGTCAAGACCTGGATCTAGGTTGAATTTCTCACATGCTGTGTATATAATCCCCTTTGACTCCTTAAAAAAATCCCAGCCCTGTGTTGTTTCAATGCCCTGTGCCTTTATAGATGGCATGGCTCAAATCTCAGCTTGAAATAATTTAGAACAGCAGCCCAGGTAAGGGCATCTGGAACTGCATTTCTCTTCCTTACTATGCTCCTCTTGATGAAGGACACTGCTGTGTTAATGGGGTTATGTTCCTTTCTTTCAGGCTTCTCTTTCCCCAGCTGATGTCACGATTAGTGACATGAAAGTCACCCCTTAGTGAACCTTAGTGATATCATGACTAGAGAAGGATCCTGAGAGGCAGGAGATTAAGCAGCAAGTTAGCAAGACTGAAAGAACAAAGCCCTTATTTTCATGCATATATCCACAGTCAAAAATGAGTGAAGAGAAGGAGAGATGGGAATTAGGTGATACATTAGTTAAACTATTATTCAAAGATTCTTTGCTCGAAATTTTGCTGGAGGTTCTTTAATCTCTCACCTTGGGTATTGTTGGTGCCATGTTATATTCCAGGCATGTCAAAATGTAACACAGCGTAAGAAGACATGATTTGTTGGATAAGGCTTTATGTAGCATGAAAAGGTTCCTCTATTTTCCCTTTTTATTATTTACATTCCCAGAGAAGGTTATGTGTCATGTGGGCTTTGCAGAGATAAATGGCTAACCTCAGCTTTCTGGCAGCTTCCTGAAAATGTGGGGGGGAGCTGCCTAAGTGTTGGCCTGAGGATTCTGGAGACTTAAGCTCAGTTCTGGTCCTGGAAGGAGATATATGAGAGGATGTAAGGCTGTGTGTTCTGAAGATAGGTTTAGCAGGGCACAGGAAATAGTACAAGGGGGTCTGAAATAGCACAGAGAGAAGGGCAACTGGGCACCAGTAGAAACCAATAAGCTGTACTGGGTGGTACTGAGGTGGTCTGGTCAAGACTGCAGTTATGGGGGTGTTGGAAGTCAGGAAGGAAGTGAAGCAGCTGAACTGAGTGGAGAGATCTTGAATGGTGCTACCAGTTGAGTGCAGAGTGTAGCTGGCCAGTGCTTGGTCCGCTACTTTCATGAGCTCTAATGCTAATTGCAGTTAGCACAATAATTCCAAGGCAGACAAGTAACTGGATATGCCATAAAACATAGGTTTGGGTGACTCCTGCTGTTTTCCAGGTGTTTCAAGGGTAGCAAGTTTTATGGCCATGTCATCAGCTTTTGCTCTATTTGCTGCTTCATTAGTTTTCATGCTGGGAGCACTCTGGGGGAGCAGCATTAGGATGTGGGACTTGGCTGTGATGGCTCCTGTGAAGGGAACAGGCAGTTAACAAGCTCTGTGGTTTCCTTGCTTGTACATACCTTGGTTATGACTCTCCTGTGGGTGGGATGTCAGAGCTGAGGATGTGCTTGGCAGGAAGGGATCCTTTAAATGAAGCTTTAACTGGAACAGAGAGATTTCTTTGGCTAGACCTGCACACTATTGGGTCCTCCATTGTCACCCACAGGGAAACAGTGTAGGTAATCTCTGGTCTCTTCCCCTGCCCTCCTATTTCCTGAGTTTTAAGATCTGGAAGCTCCAGAAGCTTTTCCAACACTGAATATAAGTAAGATGAGCTTGACTTTGATGAGCCTTCAGAGGAAAAGCAGAACTCAGGTCTCTGCCAGTCCCATGCTATTGCAATTAGCAGAATTATGGCAAACTATTCTGGGTTTCTAATATGACAAAACCCTTGCTTAGAGTTTTTTATTTTTTTTTTATTTTAACTGGGGAAAGAACTTCTTAATTAAGATGCTGAGCTCTCTCCCAATATACAGAAGAGGTAAGAATTGTTAAGGCTGTATTCATCAATTGCAAAAGAGAACACGTTTTATTTTGTTCTGTGCTATTTACAGCTGTTGTCCATTAGAAGTCCTCAGGAGCCTCATTCCCAGCTACAACCGCACAGCCCTGTAAGTTTAGCTCAGCAATGAGCCTGCAAAACAGCACTAAATCATGGTGATGGGAGAAAGAAGAAAATGTTTGGAGAAGGCAAAAAGCAGCTGATGTCCTTGGGAAGGCTAGTTTTTGTTTGTTGTTATTTTAAAACGTTATTAAGGTAAATGCTAATGCACGATTAGCTGGAGCAGAACAGAAATAGGGTACTCTAATTTAAAAAAAAAATAATCAGAATGGCTAGTAGTTCTGCAGCAGCTAAAGGAATCTTTTGCAATCTGTAAGTGCCTAAGGCATTTGTGTATACACATTAATCCAAATGTACTAACCCCTCGGTATGGTGAGATGTAAGAGTGATAAAAGCCTAATAAGTGGCTGTTGAGAAACAGAGTCCCAGTTGCTTTGTTGGACCAGAAGGTGATTGCTCTGCATGAGCTCTTTGAGCTGAGAGAGCAGTTCACTCTTCTAGTGCCCACCAACTGCTTAAGAGGAAAGCATGGAAGTATGGAGGTGTTGAGGGGGGATTGTTTCTAAGCCTGAGTACATCCCTGTAAGATGTAACTAAATTGTGCTGTAATGTATATACTCAGCAGAACTGTGCAGAATATACAGTTAAGGAGAAAATTAATGCTTATTCCTTGTTTGACTGTGAAATGAGAAATTTCACCTGTATTCTCAGCTCTGTCTCAGCCTTTGGTTTGTCAGACAAATAGCTAAACAGCTCTTTAATACCATCTACATCTTTTGGGGTAGTGTTCTACCTCCCTGTTATGCTTTAATTGATTAATGATTTGTAAAGCATTTGGAAACTGAAGGGTGGCTTTGGGACCTAAGAAAAAAGGCACGTAACTTGCTAGTTCAACATTTGCTTACAAGGGTGCTCCGCTGAGGCCTTTAGTTTTGTCTTCTGTCCTGTTACCTCTCCCAAGTCTGTCAGTTGAGGCCCTTCAGTTCATGAAGGAAAGAGCCTGAGCTCTGACGTTGCCTGATAGAGCAGGACAAACCTATCCTGGCACCGCTGTGATGCCCTGACAGATAATGCTTCCCACTAAAGTAAGTCTGTCAGGTTGACTTGTGACAATGGCCTGAGATAGTGAATGCTCACAAAAGGATCATTTTAAGACACATAATTGCTTTCTCCTTTCCTTTTATTTTCTGAGCCTGGCAGGTGTCTCCTTCTGCCTTCTCCTGTTTCCTTGGCCCATCCATGGAGTATGCTAGGCACAGATGGGAACTTCAAAGAATCTGCTGTCAAACTTAGTTTTTTCTAAGCATATGTATACTGAGAGTTTTTGGAGGCTTGTAACTAGACCAAATGTGTTTAGTGTTTTTTTCACAGGAACAGCAAATAACTTATTTGATAACAAGGAAACTTTTGCAAGTCTGCTTTGAAACAGGGTCAGTAAAGATTATCAATGAACTTTTTAGTAAGAAGTTGGTTTACTTTTTGTATTTAGAAAAAAGCAAAACCTCTCCCCACCCCAAATTACCACAGCTTATGTTTCCCATGCCAAATGTATTGCTAGAAACAGCTGAACTCTTCTAGTTGCAACTTCTGAAAATCAGCTTTGCCATCTGAGCATCTCTATTATATAAAACTGAAAAATGTCTTTCCACCAAACATAACAGCCTGTCTTAACTATGTGCATTGTTATTTCTACTTTTTGTTCGATGGTTTTGAAATAATGGTTAGCTTTGAGTACTCAACCTCTGCAGTTTATCTTATGAACTTATTAATGCATTTTCTTTAATCATATCAGTTTAGCTTGATTAATTATGATTTTGACCTTACAACACAGGTTTGTGCCAGAGGACAGGCAGCTTCCATGCCCTTGGGGCCCTTATGAGTGGGCAGATCTGCTTCGATATTTATAAAATTCTGAATTGGTAATGGTGAAATACTGGAAGTAGAGCAGGACCTTAGAAAATTAAATAATTTCTAGCTGGCTTTTAAACCTTAATGAAGCTTGATTGGATGAAACTTCCAAGAATTGCTAGAAAGCATGCTGGTGCCATTTGGAGAGGCAGTAACCTGCACATGCAGAATGCTCTCTAATGGCACATATAAGTATCTGTAGGGTTATCACAGGATACACAAGCAAGGGGATCAGATGAAACTGGCACTGTGCTGGTTCTGAGGACCAAATCTGTGATCAATTCACAAAGAGCACCTTGAGGAAATGCTGGGACCATTTAGGGATGTATTTTCCTTAAAATGCATTTCAGATTATCGCAATTCAAAAGGAATAAAATCTACTTGCAAAGCCATTATTCAGAGAAAAGTCCTGTTCAGTTTTGGGTTGTTTTTGGTTTGTTTTCCAGGCAATCGTCCTTATGTGTTTCTAACAGCCCGTGTTCACCCTGGTGAGAGCAATGCCAGCTGGGTGATGAAGGGAACCCTGGAGTTCCTTGTGAGCAGTGATCCCATCGCTGATCTCCTGCGGAAATGCTTCATTTTCAAGATTGTGCCCATGCTTAATCCCGATGGAGTCATCAATGGCAAGTGAGTTGTGATATGTACTTCTTCTGGGGTTTGGCTGGGTTTATCTGCTGGCTTTACCCCTGTGCACCTACCACATCTTTTCTTCAATGGTCAGGAGAATTCTCTTTGCCTCATGTTTTACGCATTCTGTTATCAATCCTGTATGGAAAATGTGAATTTGAGACATGACCTACTGTGCTGTCTTACATTTGTCAGGTGCATGTGATTCTGTACTGTCTGTGGCCATAAGATCTCTCAATTGCCTGGATGGAGTGTTAGTTGTGCTGGAGAAACAGGGTCTTTCTTGATAAATGGAGGTCTATCCTTTCTGCTTCAGCAGCAGGGCAGACCACACTTGCAAGACATATATGCCTGGGAAGAACTGGCTGTAATTAATGCTTTGTATAGCCTGGTAGGGGGGAAGATGAGTAAGGATCTCTTAAATTTTCACATTTTCATGGAAATATTTCCATATAGTGAAGCTCCCTCCTTCTCCCACCTCCTTTTCAATCTTCCCTCCCACGTTTCTTAAGAGATACTGAAACTGATCTTGGAAAATACTGATTCCTTCTTTCATTCTTTGCCTTATACTATCCCTGCCCACCCACACTAACTTCCCTTCCCTCTCTCTGTACATGAGTGGAAAAAGTACAACTGCTCCTAATATGCTGACATGAAATAAATATTGCTGTGCAAGCAGTGGAAGAATAATTCCCTTTGAAACATGGAAGGGTACTTTAAGATAAGGCAGACTTGCACTTGGCTGGAAAAAAAAAAATCTACTTGTCTCTGAGGATAGTGGAGTTTGTTCACCTTGGGTGTTTGTGAAGTGGCTGTAAGTTGATAACCATTGGTCCTGTCTGATGCAGGGACAGGATGTCATGATCACATCCCACACACTTGTGTGTCTTGACCTGGCTATGAGGTCTTGCAGGTCTTGGCAGCAACTGTGCCCCCTGGCTTATTAAAGTGGAACACATGACAAATCTTGAAGCTAGAAGATGGGCTTAAATAAGTATTGAAACACAGAAAAGTATAGAGGAACAACTTTCCTCAAGCTACATTCTCCCACCTGCTTTGGGGTCGGGCTGTGCAGATGGAGTGCTGCAGGAACAGAAAAGCAATCCTGAGCAACAACTGCATTGAGTTTGGTTCTAAACTAATTCAGTTTCAGCAGGGAGCACCTTGGGATTTTCTGACAGTCTCTAGTCTGTGAAGTCACAGCTCCTGTGCTCCCCAGGACCTGAGTCTTCCAGGAGTCTGGGAGGACTGTTCAGAATAGCTGGATACAGCCCCAGGGTATGTAAAGCCTCTGTTGGCACCAAATGCTTTTTTGATCCTTCCAGACAGAAGAAGCAAGAAAAAAGGTTGTGGCTTTCCCCCCTTACTTTTGCTCCTTTCGCTACACTTAAAATTTTCAACAGATGCAGGAGTGGAGGGAACGTCTGGCCTTTCCCTCTAGCTGTCAGGAGTGAACATAACAGGAAGGGACCCTCAAGAGGGAGGACATGGCTCTAGGTGGCACCTGAATGCAATATACTACTTGGGCTCGTGTCACACAGGAGGGTGTTTTGCCTTCCCTGGTGCAGATGAGCTTGAACTGTAGTTAAATCTGGTGATGAGTTAAAAAGGTTGTCTAAGTTTAAATGCTCTAATAACCTTTATTATCTTTCAAGACAATGTTAAGAGGGAACTATTTTCTGAGGAAGCTGGTCCATAGTCCATCACTGACAATAGCACTTTTAAGAAGATACTTGCTAAATATTTTTTTACATTTCTGAAAACTGTTTTATAACTCACTTCATGAAATTACTTGTTTTCTTTGGGATTCATAATCACTGCTGTGGAAGTCCCACCAGGCACGCCCAAAAGGTCTGCTTTTGTGTCTGCTAGAGTGTGTGTAACATCCCAACCTGTTGTCACTTCTAGTTTTAGACAAGTTGCTGTGCTCTCATACCTTCCCCCTGCCAGGACTGGGCATGCTGAATGCAGCAAGCACACTACCCAGGCCAACAAGTATCTTGGCTCTGTGCTGGACACAGGGAACACCTACACCTGGTAACCAGTGATCTTATCTTTTATTGTGAAACAAAAATATCTCCTGTATCAGTGCCTCTGTTGCTTTCGTCCTGGTGTCTCTGTATCTTTATTTAAAAAAGAATTGGATTACTTTTTGTTGACAATTCTTTGAATTTCCTCACTCTCCTTAATCCCCAGCCCTGTGTGCTGGGGTGTGCATAACCAGTGCCTGGTTACAAAGCGTTTTTCCAGCAGCCCAGCTGTGCCTCTTCCCCAGCTGGCTCCCTGCTGCAGGCACAGCTCAGCAGGTGAGTGCTCATCCCAGCAGGGCACTGCACCATCACACTTTGGGAGCCTCATGCAGCAACAAGATGATCAGGACCTTGGTATTTGCTTTGGTTAATGTGATCTGAAGGTTACACGCAGAGAATGCTCCTCTAACACAGGCAGGGCTGCAGTAATGCGATTATGCTCTGCCTGTGTGGGGCTGAGCTGGGAAGCAGCTCTGCACACTCCCTTTTGCTTCAGTCAGTGCTTGGAGAATCCATTGCTGTCTGTCAGAGATGGAGATGTGGAGCCCTGTCACTGATGCTAAATGAAGGCAGCAGTGATGCAAGTGTGTGCGTACAAGTGGAGCTGTCATCACATAAAATTACAGATCACTACCAAATTCTGCAGCTAATTGGATGTTGTTCAATTCAGACAGAATTGGTGAGTGATTGTGTTGCTGTGTAGCACAGCATTTTGCTCCATCTTGAAGAGCACGCGGGTGTAGTTTTGTCAAACAATATTCAGCTGATCTGATAATGGTTATATATTTTAAGTTAAATAACTGATACTGCTTTTCATAAAGTTAATCTTATACTTTCTGCCAGACACTGGCTTTTGACCGCTGCTGGTGATGGGATTCTGCCTCACATACATCTATGATCTGACCTGATAGTTACTTTATATATTTTCATTTTGCTTCTTTTGATAAAAATTACAAGGAAAAAATAGTCTTAGTTTCCAAGACCAGTAGTGTAAGTCAATCTGAAGTGACAGCCTTATACTTAGTGTCCTTGCAGTCTGACCTTCTTTTGCACAAGTTGTTCTATGATAATCCAAAGTAGTAAGTGGTGTTTGGCCTTATGGCTCAGTACTTTAGCCCCATACCTGTAGCCCCCTTTTAAACTACATTATAGTAAATGGAAAGCTTTAAAAGGAATTAATATCTATGAAGTGTAAGAGAATCCATGAAGAAAAGTATCACCTTCATTAGGAATGTGGTAGAAAATGGCAATGGATGAGAGAGAAACCTGTGCTTTGTTCCTGGCTCTGCTGCTGTTGGACTAAAAGACCATTGCCTCTGCCTTTTGCCTGAGTCTTCTTCCTTACAGAATGAGAGTGACATACATAACCTTAGAGCAATTTGAAATGTCAATCTAGATCTACTACTGTTTGAACTATTAGGCTTGTTTTTAACTTGCAGAATGTGGAAAATAATGCTCTTGGAAAACTTTAAATTTGGGAGAAATGGTGCAGAGTAGCCTCTAACGAAACCTTATTAAAAATTTTTGCTTTAAAAAAGTTAATCTGTTCAAGTGAAACCCATGTACCCAAAAGTAGATTAATTATAGTTGCAGTTGTGCAAAATCCAGAAACCAGGATTCAGTGAGAGAACTTGTAAAAAGCTGGATTATAGCAGCACAAAAAGAGGTTTTGTAAAGAAACAGAACACTTTTTGCTGTCCACAGCGTTCCATATAAACTCATTATCACACATTTGAGCATCGAGCTGTGTGTGCTCACGCATGCCTGTGCAGCTGTGTGCTAACTCATGATGTGTTCATGTGCTGCCTTCTGTGTGTGCCTGCTGTGCATCCTCCTGTCAGCAGCCTGTTCCTGCAGCTGTGCCTCAGCATCTGCTGGACCTGCAAGACATCTACACACACACCTGGCACTCCCACACATGTGCTCACTCAACACAGTAGCCAACATTTAGTGCTTTTGGCTGGATTTCTCCAGACCCTGCGGTGTCTAGATAAATATTGCTATTTATTATGTATTAAATTTAGGGTTATTAATTATATCAGTATAACCTAATTTATATCACCATAAACAGCAGTAATAAATGATGCCAAATGCTAACACTTGATTCTTGCCAATTGTGCCTATTTCAGGGTGGGTTTTTTTCTCTCCAGTTCCCAGAAGTATTAAATTAAAAATGATTGGCCTTGCAAGATCATTGCTCAAGCAAGAAGTGGAAGGTCCTGGGGAAATGATTTTGTGTTAAAGAATACTTCCCATGCAGACTGCTCATGCAGTATCTATGTATTTTGTGTATGCAGAAATTCTCTTTCCACTGGCAAATTCTTTGCTGTCCAGTATCACAGCCCTTTGAGTTCGTCTCCCTCCTGTGCTGCCACCTTCTTCCTCTTCCATTTCTTCCTTTTAACATCCCTTCTTTCTTTTTGTCTGCCTCCTTTTCTCACTCTTCCCTCCCTCCTGCTGAATTAAAGAGGCTTTTCATTGAAAAGAACTTGATGCATTTTATAAATTAATTGAACCAATGAGTGGAGATGGGATCTGGTGAGTCTGTCTTTTTGGTAAAGGAAGATGAATTTATTGGAAGCCACATGATTTCTTCAGAGCCATGGGGTAACCACAGTAGCAGTTAGGTAGAGGAAATCCTGATTCGCATTTTGAATTATAGCCACAGACTATTCTTTACCTGGTTTATAAACACCCTGTTCCCTCCTGCATTTGCTCTGCCACAACACAGGCTCAGTAAGCTTTGCTGCTCCAAGGTAAGGCAGGTGAGGTACTGGGTTTCCTATCTGCCCATTGATGCTCCCTTCCCTTTTGTTTAATCTGTCTATTCCATCCTTGTTTACTCAGGGGGCTTTGTTCATTACCTCTTCAAATCCATCAGGGAAGAGCATTAGTTTTTTGACAATTACTGAAATGGAGAGAGAGAAATGCCCACTAAAATCCCTTCTAGAGAAGGTTTCCTCTGCACAC